TAAATCAATTTTTGAGTGCAAAAAAAGAAAGGGATTAGGTTTATCGTTTTTTTTACTTGTGCATCAAATGCGGTTGCTACACCACATAGTTCTTGTTCGATATCATATAAAATAAATTCAAGTGACAGGATCTGGCGTTTATACTCCCTTCCCAATCCTGCTAGATTGTTTTTTCTTTTAACTATTTTTTTTGGGACTGAGGTGAGGATATGGAATCAGTAAACCAGACCTTGGATATTTTTAGTCTTAGCAAAAAGTCTATAGTTTAGGAAAAAAGAAGATTCTCTATTGAGCTGAGCGGCAACTGGTGACCAGCTTCTTTGAGAGCAACTAGAACTGGATACATATCTTTTTGTGATAGCTTCTACCAGTTTATGAGCTTGAACTGTCACAGCCCTGTTCGTGTTTTCTTCAAAAGAGCTGAGTGAGAAGGGAGATATAGGATGCCATTACGGAAGAATAGAGATACTATGATGGCTTTGAATTATTACTCAAAGTTTAATTGTGAAGACTTCACATCAGTTTAGAAAAATGAACAAACGTCAACCAAATCAGAAATAATTTGCAGAATCAAGAGATCAGGCCACCCTAGTCGTGACAGATCGTATATACCTTTTTCTGATGTTATTTACATTCATTAAACGATTATCTGCTCTCTTTTCAACTTAGACATAAGAAGTTGTAATTCTAAATGTTTTTCACAATCGGATACTTTCCTGGATCCAAATCGAGTTATTCTGGGAGAATTAGGAACGTTTTTTTTACATTTACTATCGAGAATCAGTTATAAAGAATTCATGACTTTATGATGAAAAACATTTTAATGTCGTTCAACAAGGTAAAAAGCATGAAAACTTGTCGAATTTTTCAAGCGTTTTCGCCAGTATTCGAAAATGAACGAGATCTCTTGAATTGTTGACCATAACAATGCCATTGTAGGTCTGTTCACGGCACTTATTATATAAAATAAACCAAAAGTACCAATAAATACTAGTAAGATTATTCTTACATGAATACCAATTGGCTGTTTTTTGCATAGCGCATATTTCAGCATCAAAATAACTACAGCGAAATTTCCTTATTTGTGAGAGTAAACACTCAGATATCACATTTTGCGCTGTTCCATATAGCTATCCATGGGTACGCCTCCATCAGAGAGAGTCAATAAGATATGAAATAGAATCACTCTGTATGAGCCATATACTCACCTGCCAATATGTAATCTTCATCTTTTTGTCTCAAAAAATCCTTGTTTCAAACTTCTGTGTAATCGGCATTGCATTAGTGTACCAATCTTTTTCTAACCAAAGAAATAAGTAATGAATCATCCGATACTTGCATGCAATATCATGTATGTTTTATCTCGAGCATTCAGATGATTCATTCAAACAAACACACTCTAAACTAAAAAATGCCGCCCGTTTAAAGTCTAGTTTAGAGATGAGTTAGACATGAGAAGCATCTTATTTTTTCAGACGCTTGGACCCAATCGCTATTAATACTTGTTCGTTATAGTAGTTAAACATTTGATCAGTCACCCACACCCACACAGCGAATGTTAATATTTTCAAAATGTATTTTATGAAAAATATGTTTAACTAATACTTTTTAAATAATAAGTAAATATGGTGACTGTAGATAATAACTTTTGTTCATTATTCTTTCCCTAAGATGACTTGACTTTCTTAAGATACACATCTACGTAATATTGTGCGTATTATCTTTACTTGATCAGATGGTAAGTTTTATTTTATGTTTAGTTATATTATTTTATTTTATACCATTTTCTTAGAGTTTATTTCCTTACATTTACAGTTAGAATTTTCATTTAAAAATGAATTTAGTACGTCAAGCAAGATTATTTAGAAAAAGGGTGTGGATGGGTGTGAAGTCTTTCTCCATCTTCTCACACCTACACTCACACCAGAGACCGAAACGAATGACAAAAGTTCAATTCGGATTCGGTTCGGTTTTATTTGGTTCTGACATTTTTAAAAAAATGCTATTTTATGTTTAGACACAGTCCATTTTTCGATAATGTCGCCGCTTGAAAAGGATGATACATATCGATACTATCATAAAATGAATTGTTTTCATAGTTAACTTTACAACCATTTGTATGAAGATAATCAGCCGTCAGATAAGTGCCACTACGATTTTCTTTGTCTGAATAAAGAAGAAACGCTACTGCTACAAAAAGAACAATACCCTCTATACCTAGTGTTCTGATAGGAAGTAGTCGATCAAAGCGTGTGAATGCTTCGACATCTTTGAGCAGCGTGTATCTCGGCCTTGTGTCGATTTTCTATTTCATTTTCGACCTTCTATTGTGACCCGAAATGGATGAGACAAATATATAAAGCTTCCATTTAGGTCTTACACATTCCAAAGAAATAAAATAACTCTATTTCTGTCTTAAATCATTACTTCTACGTACTATAATAGCTAATATTCTAATCATAAATCAAGGTTGCCTTAATATGAAGATGGAAATAATAGAAAAAGTAAATTTCAACCGTCACTTTTTCATTCATCTATTTATTTACATATATTTTATTGTTCAGTTAGCTCGATTGACCTATAATTTGATTGGTGCATTAAAATTTAGTTATCTCGAAAAAAAAGATGACATAACTATCTTTTAACTTTATACCAATCAAATTGCTTATTTCAGCATTATTCTTTTTTTCGTTCGGTCTTTAGTCTCTTGCCATCATAAATAACGATATGAATGGCAACCGAATATGACAGAAAACAAATTGATTCGATTCGGTTTCAGACCCACATTCATATCGTTCTGAGCATTCTTCGATAGCGCACTTTTCAATGGTCATCAAGCAACCGAATGTTCATTATATAAAAGTATTGTGACTTTCAAAAATGATTGTCTCTTTTGGCTGAATACATTGATTTCAAGAGAGTTTCTATCAAAATCATACCTAAGCTTTTGCTTTAACAAATGAAAGAAAAATAAGAGATGAGCTACTTCTCCGACAGACAAGGACAAGTTAAATCATTTTCAATAGAGAACATTCTGTATTCTTAAATGTTTCACTCACTTTAGATTATTATATTTAGGTGATAGTTCATCATTCTGACCGAGACGCTAAAATTCAAGACTTTTTATTTGATGATAATCGTTTTATAACTAACTAAAAGTATTTCAAGTATTCGATAGTTCCTCGCGTTGTACTTTCATGTATTATGCTCTGAGAGAATAGCTTAAAATCTTGTTTTTGTGTAGCTTGATCGATCCATCTCTATCTAAATAGTTTTTGGAACAATAGTGTAACATCAACAGAACATGTTTAGCTCCAATGAAAACAAAACGCCGAACTCAAATCTTCTTCAAAGTTAAAAAAAAACTATCGAAAGAAAAATGTTTTTAGTCGACCTTTGACTCATTCATTATTGTCTCACGATCATCTATTAAGCATTCTTCGTTTGCTTCGCTTCATTCTTCCTCTGCTTATTTTAGTATCCAACTTAGCAAGAGCTAAGATCATCAGCTGATTTTCAAACAACATGATACGATCTTCTTTCTTCGCTATATGTATTTTTTTATACTCATCAAAAAATTTCTTTTGCTAGATATAATTCAGTAACATGGAAATTTCACATTTAACAATGTAAACTAATCCATGGCGCTTTAGTATTCATAATAATCATTTAATCTGGATGATTCTTTTACAATAATTCCATGTGATACATTCTCTTAATATTATTTTCTTCTAATCGTCATAAACACATCTAAAAGAAGTCAAGAATAAATTTTAGTTCATAATTTCAGATAGTCTATTATCGTGCTAATAAGGGAAATGATGAAAAAACAACAAATGAATTGATTAGTAGTAGACAGTCATGGATCAATTTCATGCAGACATACAGATGACACATCAATTACACAACAATAATGTAGTTATCACACGGTTGTTCACTGAAAAATATGTTTAGGGAACACCATTTTCTTGTCTACATTAGTACTGGAGATATTTCATATTGTGGCCATTGTATTCATCAAGATGTAACATTTTCTTAGGAAGAAGTTTCAAAAAAAAATCTGCTAGCATAATAGAACTTATACAAAAACAATGGCTATCAACCATGCTTTGAAAATTTTACCAAAATATCCAAGTTCCTCCAAGTGGCAGTGCAATATCTTTGTCAAGCGTATTTTGTGTGCATTTATTTTGTCGCCCCCTTGACGCTGTTATTTTGATTTCCTAGACACACAATTGTCGACAGAAATTCATTTCGCTTGGTCAGTGTTGTCAATGCAAGGAATTGTTATGAAATTTATTGTTCTAAAAGATGTTTTTTTAGTTTCAACAATGAAATCTAATAATGAGATCTAAGTAGTTTGATTCAGAGACTGACGAGACGATCAGAAACTGCCCTGGCAAGGCCTGCCGGAGGTTGTTCAGAGACTTCTTTCATCCCGTCCCGTCTAAATATTGTCACTCTAATCCCGTGCGTATGTTTTCATTGTTCTATTTGTATTCTTAATAATGACAAAACTAGGATGTAGGTGTAGGTGTTTGTATGATGTGGATAACACTAACAGCCACAGCTACAGCTACACTCACACCCCCACTCAACAAGCATTTCGTTGTGTTAAACTGATGATCAACCATTTCTGCTGTTGTCACGATCGATTAGTCTGAGAATAGTAACTGTTTTTCTGAATTCGCAAAAAAAGACTAAACCTATCAAACAATGACTGCGTACTTTCAGATGTGGGTGTGGGTGTCTATGTTTTTATTAATTCATCCACATCGATACTCACACCCTATTTTGCTCTGATATGTCACAATTTCCGACTTAGAAACAGAACTAGTTTTTTGGCAGGGGTGGTGAAAGTGGGTGTCCAGATTACGAATTCTAAGACTCACACTCGTTATGTGATATTCAATTTATTGTGAAGTGTCTTTCGTTTTGGAATGTACAATAAAAATCAAGGTTTGTTGTATTTCAATGTTAAATGTAGATTCAATTAAGTTCTAATTCCAACATTTTAAATGTCCGATTCCATGTTGTACTAATTTTACAAGTGTTTCTCGAAATAAACTGCCAGTTATTGTGTACAAGTAAAATGGAATACAATTCGGTATGTAGGTAAAAAGAAGTACAACGTTGAAAACAAAATTTTCAAGTGCTACTTGGGATGATGCTTTTTTCGCATAAAATGTGTAGGTTAAATAGAACTTTTGTCCTGCTTGTGGAAGATTGAATATAGTGAGAAGGATAACTTGTGATGCCAACATCACTGTCAAACTTTGTTCATCTTTTCCATGTCCTCTCCGAGTAGAGCCAGTCGTATTTGTCAATGAAGGTCCAACTTGTCGAGATTGTCGAATATTGCCAATAGTACACAAACCAAGTATGAACATGATTGTCGATGGAATCAGCGTTGTAACTAAAGATTGAGAAAGATCGTTGAAGATACGACATGAGTCGGACTTGGCATAGCATGGTTGTGGAGTACCAGTTAGATTGACATCGAAACAATAGATAGATTCAGTCCAGAATATAATTGAAAGAATAGTAATGACTATAATGCACCGATAGGCGTTCTTCAAATTGCTCATTTGTCGTTTATTGACATCAAGAGATGAGATCACATAACGATCAACAGTAGCAAAAGCAAGAAGCCATGAAGAAATAGTACGAGTGATAAAGAGAACCACGATACGTAGTTTACATAAGACAGATACTACCTGTGTTGCATCTGGGACCAGAAATAAACTTTGAAATAAACGTGGTGTAAGACCCGAGATAAGACTCATAAAACTTGTTATACTGGACACAAGAAAATAGATAACACATGGTTTCGATCGAAGTGCTCGTTGAGTAAATACCAATATATTTGTCAGATTGCCGACAACGCCAAAGATCATGATAAAAGTCGGCACATATAAATTGATTTGTGTTGAAGTATATTGAAGAGAAGCGATATATGCCTTAGTGGCATTATTAGTTGACATTTTTGAAATGGACGTTATATTATAAAAGTTAATGTTGCTATGTCACGCAATTCGAGAAACAGAATGCTGTTGACTGAGATGGAAAAAATGATGCACACAATATATATATTGCAAGTAAGGATGGCATCAACCCACTAATTGCGTTCGTTTCCTGTTTTGTCGCCTTTGCTATTATTTTCATGAATTGATTTATTATTTGTTAAATTTCAGCATGGATGAATACATATAATAAGTCTATTTGTAGTTATTCTTTTGCAACGAAATGTACGAATAATGTTCATTATTCTTTTATGAATTATTTGAATTTTTGTTTTCATCAAAAAATGAATGGAACATGCTTCTTTAACGTAGAAAAAAACCAAGATCTCGAATTATCTCTTGACTCAATGCATTTCAATTCCACTGAGATCTTAATTTTCAAAAATTTGTACTTATTGAATAAAAACGCGTATTATTTGCTAACAGTATAGTTATCATAAAATTGACATCAACATTGAACTAGTTTGATTTTACAGACTCTGTACTGGAATCATGGTAAGAATAGTATATGAAGAAATATCATATTGCTGTATATCAATCAATGCCGAGACTGAAATTGATATACTCCTTGACACATTGTAATAGTCGCATATTCTTATTTGAATGGAAGAATTAGTTGAATATTCTTATTTTCACATCATCATTTCGTCTATTTTGAACTGTAATTATCCTGCTGCGGATCTAAAAAACGACTCAATAGTCGCTTTAAAACAAACATTATCAATGCAGAAAATGTTTGCTTTTTCTCTCTTGATGTGTTCATTGTAGCTTTAAAACCAATAATTTCATGTGGAAATTAATTACATGATATTCATTAGAATGGTATTGTCAAGACAACAGGCATCGGAGAAAGTAGGAAAAAACTTCAGCACTATTTCAATGCACTGCGGTTAGAAGAATCCAAAAAATGAGTCTTATAACGTGTTCACTAGTGCTCAAAATTAGATCAATTTGTCAAAACACATGCATATTCATGTTTATCGATTTCAATGCATTGAGAAAGCGAACAAGCAAAACTTGACATATTTCGACTTCTTACCATTATAAATAGAGATATTAGGAGTCAAATTTTGATCCACAATTTAATTATCTCAAACAGTAGAATATCATTGGAATACTTTAAATCCAAAGTATTAGCTCTTCATGGCCTTCGAACGAAAAAACTTGATACATACAAGTAATTCTCTCTTCAGTACTTGATCAAAAGAATTGTTTTTTTAATGAATTCTTTAGTATTTTGCACTTTTCTCCATATTCGCTCGTGAGTTGAAAATTGAAGACACTTCAAAAGATGCCAAAATGTTTTTTTTTTCTACATCATATTTCACTAATTTATAATACCAATATACAAGCAATATAGTTGACCCGTAAATCAATGCCTAGTATTTCGTCTCTGGCAATATGAAATCACTCTATTCCAAAATAACTATTATATTTTCTGAAATCCACTGAAACTCGATATCATTGAAGGTAAAGCTCAAGTGATTCAAATACTGCTAACAGAAGTCAGTCCATGTTAGAAATGTCGATGGGGTATGGGTACATGTGGATGTGAGTGGTGTCCAGCTGAACATTCACATTTCGATTAAAATCATTCAGCTTTTAAGTCGATTTTTTTAGCCAGAAATTTTTACCTAAGTAGACGACATGGGGTTCTGTCTTCATCTATGAATAGCTTTCTGTTTCGGTGAGTTCCGGACGGCATTGTTAGATGAAATCTGTAAAAGTATCTCTGTATAATGTTACATCATCGTTAACATCATTTTTGTTATGAAGCCATTCAAAAGCAGTGTATTTCTAGAATAGGACAATCGAAATAATCCTTGTAGAATCAATCCTTCAAAATCGATCTCAACTGATTTATTTCTAAACATTTTTCTAATTGTAGAGTCAACGTTGAAGAATATTTCCAGACAATCATCTTTACTAAACGAGTAATCGCTCACGTACTTTGAGCACGAGTATATATAACTCTTCAAAAAATATCCTAGGTAGAAAAATAGTATTGTTGACATTTACCCTTTCAATACTAAATCGCTGAAATTTATTTTTCGATCTTGAAAAGAATATTTCTTCTGGTTGGGAACGTCCTCATATTTCATCCGTTTTATTAAACGAAAAATATTCGAAGAATAAGAGTAAGTTTGATTGAAATAGGTTTTAATTGAATTTACAATGGTCAATGGATTTTATTTCATCGTAAATTTTTTCAACTTTATCTATTTATCCAGAATAACATGGCGAGAGAGAGAGAGGAAGAGAGAAAATTTCTTCAACTATTTCTTTGAGAAAGAGGAAAATGAAAAAAACGAAAGGCTTTTTCATCATAGAATGTTGTTACTTATTAGTAATAATAACAACGATACCAAAACTTCACGTGTTTTTTCGTACATTGTTGCCAACGAATTTTTCGGTTGATCTCTGTTTACGACGACATATGCATATTACAGAATAGATTTGAAGCAACAAATAGAAAGTTACCACTTCATTGGAATAGTAAGGCCATGAAAAAAGATTGCATGTTCCACAAATACAATGGCAACAGCATCACCTGAACAAACTACCATGGGAGCACATCCACCATTTAATTCTCATATTATTCAAAACTTCATCCTCATATGGTTACATTCTCATATTAACGAAGTGAATGACAATGACTTTCGTAATTCAATTACTGAATTACAAAGAGTTGTTAATACTATCAATACATTTATCGATACTGATCAATGCATTGACTTTTCTCATCGATATCAAAGAAGAAAAAGTCATGATGATTATTTCAGATGAACTAAGTCAAAACATTGTGCCACTTGTACACGATATAACTCAAATTAATTCCATTTACATCTTTTGTAAAAATGAGTCATTAGATAAACAATGGACAAAACAATGGTCCAAAGTAAAAGATATATTCTCTGCAATTTCACCCATTTGTCAAGCACTTAAAAAAAACGTGCAAAAATATGATCAAGATTTGGTTTCTATCAGCTTTGTTTCAACGAATAGCGGAGATTTTTATGAAAATTTAGATCAACTCGATCCAACGTTTATGTATACACAAATATTGAAGGAAATTTTTATTAACTATTGACTTTAATGAACAACATATTAAAGAGTTTACCACGTACTATCGCGAAAAATTTGCTGATAATGTTGTTCAATTGAATAATATCGACGAATTCGAAAAAGAATTATGATAATCATTTGCCTATCTAGTAGTATACGCATGAATGTTGCCTTTATTCGGTACTCAACCGAGCTTTGCGCATGATGGAGGTAGATACTATCATCAAAATGGGTTTCTTTATTCGTGATCTTTATCATCAAATCAGACAACTTCACATAAACCAATTTAGTGAGCATCCTCAATTGGACTCATTTACTATCTTTCAAGGACAAGGTTTACTCAAGATAGAGTTTGATAAAATGTTGAAAACACAAGGTGGGCTGATCTCGTTTAACAATTTTTTGTCTACAAGCAAAAATCTGAGTGTAGCTCATGGCTTTGCTCGTAGTTCTCTTACTAGTCCATCTTCAAGAGGTGTTGTTTTTGTGATAACGATTGATCCTTCAATAAAGTCAACTCATTTTGCTTGTATCAACGACGTCAGTTACTATAAAACAGAAGAAGAAATTCTATTTTCAATGCATACTGTTTTTCGTATTGGTAATATGATACAAAGCAACGACGACAATCGTTTATGGCAGATAGACTTAATCCAGACCAATGACAACGATTCAGAACTGAATGTTCTTACTGAACAAATACGTAATGAGGTACGAGGATCGACTGAATGGGATAAATTAGGTAAATTGCTAATCAAACTTGGCCAATTTGATAAAGCCAATGAATTATACGAAGTTCTTATCGATCAAACATATAATGATCGTGAGAAAATAAATTTCTATCATCAACTTGGATGAAGCAAGAAAAATCAAAAAAATATGAGGAAGCAATTACATATTATGAAAAATCACTTGAAATCAAACAAAAAGTTTTGCTTCTAAATCATCCTTCATTATCGATTTCTTTCAATGAAATCGGTTTTGTATATGAAAAGATGAATCAGTACTCGCGGGCACTTTTGTATCACGAAAAAGGACTTGAAAATCAACGAAACACACTTTCTTCGAGTCATCCTAATTTGGCACCTTCTTATAGCAAAATTGGTTCTACTTATGAAAAAATGGATGAATACTCAAAAGCACTTTTATTTCATGAAAAAGCAGTTGTAATTCAACAGTAACAACCTTCTTCAAATAATCTCAACTTGGCTTATTCTTACAATAATATCGGTTCTGTATATGAAAAGATGAATGAGTATTCGAAAGCACTTTCGTCTCATGAAAAAGCACCGAAAATTAAACAAAAAATACTTCCTTCGAGTCATCCTGATTTGGCTCAGTCCCACAGCAGTATCGGTTACGTTTATGGTAAGATGTGTCAGTACTCAAAAGCACGTCAATATCATCAACAAGCTATTGATATTGGACAACGATCACTACGTGCCAATCATCCACGTCTTCAACAGTGGCTAAAGAATCTCGAATTTGTAACAAGGAAATGTAACTGATTTGTTTGTCGAAAATAAAAGTTAGACAGAAAATATAGTACTGATTAATCTGAGAGGCATTTACACTAGCAGCAAAAGTCTATCTCGCTAAGAATTGATACTCTCTAAAAAGAAGTGTCGTATTGAACCTTTTAAGGTTCTAGGCGTGCGTAGGAACCATCAACTGTCTCTAGGGTTTATGATCATATATAGCAATGACATTATTAACCTGAAGTATCGTCTTCAGAGTTTATGATAAAATGTACAAATCGATTCTAGAGTAATAACAATTGCTCCGAGAGTTGATGAACGACTGACTAGAGGTGTTTCGAGCTATTATCAGTAGTAAACTTATGCATATGAGATCAGCACGGAAACAGTTAATACTTTTCATAGTTATGTGAATTC